CGCTATGAGCATAGTCATAAAGCAAGGAACTTTCGTTTTCCTACAACGGATTAGCCAATACGAGAGCTCTGTCAGAGAGCATGGTTATGATGAAGCCTATCTTAGCCCTGTCAGGTCAGTGTGATAAGCTCTGGGGCAAAGCTTGAATGACATGCTAACCTGATTAAGAAAGCCTCTACATTTAGAGGGATCCCCGCTATAGTGTATGGGCACAGTTACCCCTGTGGGTGGTGGAATCTACACCAGCAGATATAGGTATAGACTTACTGTCTGTGTTTGTCTATCAGCTGATCTATTAATCAGAGTTTGCAAGGCTTGTGCGAATTGATCCATTCGGTGGTCAAGACCATAAAGCCTTGAGTCATGAGCACACACCTGCAGGATCCATTGGCCCTGTTGTATTTTAACGATTAACCCAACATGCAGAGTGAAAACCCACCAGTAGAAACAGAGACAGATAGAAAGTCCCTAAGCCAAACCTTAGAATGACCGGAATATAGAGAAAAACTACAAGAAACGTCAAAAACAAGCCAAGATCAAGGGAAGCCAGAAATACACAATCACAAGAAACAAAGCCGAGTCAGGGAAACCAGAAAACAGGATAGTCGATAATAAGCCGGGTCAAATACTAAAAATACCAAAATGACAGAAGAACGCGCTATTGGGACACTAGACACACTAGGAACCACAACAGGGCACTGTGCCTTGGGCAAACTGAGTTTTATATGTGCTAGAGTGCTGAGCTCTATTGATTATAGCTCCCGTGTGCCGCATCATAAAAAAGGGCGGGCGCACAGTGGCCAAGAGGCTGACTGGAACCTCTGACATCATGGGAGCGATGGCAGATAAATGTGGTTTTATCTATCTTTGTCCCTTGCCGAAACCACTTTCACGTCTTCAAATATTCTCATGTCTTCCACCTCATCCGCCCAGCGCAAGTTCATTTCCAAAATATCGAGATCACCATTTTTGCTGTGCTTAGTAGTCTCGGTATCACAGATCTCTTATAGGCCATTGTCAGAACGGGAGTATGATGCAGGAGGAAAGTGGCTGGATCCATCGGTGGAGGCTCCTCCATCATATCTCGGACCACCTGGTATATCACTTCCCATTATGGCTTATACAGTCTACAGTCCTACCACATATGTTTAAATATTCCTTGCTCCTCTCTGCATCGTCAGCATATGTCTGGCCCCGATAAATCTCGGGTGTGAAAGGCCATTGGGGTCAAGTACCATCCTATGAAAATGTTATGTTAGTTTTCTTGTATGTGGGTCGAGGCTGGGGTCTTCTGTTTGTGAGCTTGCATATTATTCCAATTAGCATTGGAGAACCCTCTCCCATTTTCCAATGTGGGGGAGAGGGTGAGGCTAGAGGTAATGAATCTCGTCTGGGTCTGTGGTTAGATAATATTAAGGGGCTAAATGGTGCCACAGGGACGTCGCTCTCACAAATGGATTTACCGCAGTGCATTCTGTGTGCATTCACCTCTCTCTCAATCCATGGTAAAGCTTGAATATCTGGGTTAATACTATCCGATTCTAGTTACACCCAGACTTTTTGCAATGTGGGACTTGTATGACAGATGGGGATTCTTTATTTTTT